CCGTCCGTGTTAAAATATAATTTTGAAAATTTACAAAACTAAACAGCCTACAGTATTTTTACAGTCTTTACTTTACAGTTAAATATATGTTTATCAAATAAAGTCTAATGTTACAGCTAACCATGGATCCCTTTAAAAAAGCAGATAAAAAATAGAGCAGATCTGGTTTCACCTTGTCAGACAGCCACAGTCGGGTTATAAAGCTCAGCGAACGACAGCAGCCGTCTAATTCAAGAAGTAACCACACAGTTGCACAAGCCTGTCATGAGTAAGGTGGATTTTTTTTTACTTCCTCTGAACCGACGAACTCATCAGTCCTTGCATGTGTAAAATATTAGCGTGTGCGTTCACTGAGGAGACTGCAGCAACCAACAGATCTGTTAGAAAGGAAGTGGGTTTGGTGGTTGGATTTGCAAAAACAGCAGGAGAAAACAAACAAACAAACAAACAAAAAATAAATAAAGCTGAATCACTTGGTTGATTAGGATTGCTTTAAAAACCTGGATGCAGTTCATCAAAATCCTTTTTACATTGTATATGTGTTGAACAGACGTGTCACTGCGAGGCAGCGTGCAAGGCAGCCGCTGCTTTATGGCTGAACACACTTTCTTACTGCTATAAGACGAGAACCAATTTGTCTTTAGGCAAGTCTTTTCCCCTTAGCTGGAGTTTGTTGTGTAACCGTGCACCATGCGAGCAGGGTTTTTTTCTTCATGTTCTTTACCCTGGTAGCGTGCTCCGTTCTTGATGACGATGGCCCCCCGGCTGCGCGTCTCCTCCTCGGCCTGAGCCAGGCTCTGACGGGCCTTATCGTACGAGTCATCTGTGGCGTTCACCGTCATCTTCTTCTGAATCACCCCGAGACACGACAGCTCCTCAGCAGCTCTGAGAGGAGGAGGAGGAGGAAACACATTCAGGCATCAGAGGAAATCTGTAAAAACGTTTCGATCATTTAAACTTTTTTTTGTCTTTTGGAAATGCAAGTCAAAACAAATAAAATATGTTATAAAAAGGGTTTTAATAGTTCTTTAAGCTTGATTTTGAATAAATCTGCTCAAGCTGGAGTCAAACATGATAATTTTTCATTCTTATATACGAATAGAATAGAATAGAATAGAATAGAATAGAATAGAATAGAATAGAATAGAATAGAATAGAATAGAATAGAATAGAAT